ACCCTCTCCAATGCGTCCACATCCTTTTTGTAGTGGGGGGCCCAGAACTGGACACAATACTCCAGATGCGGCCTCACCAAAGCTGAATAAAGGGGAATGATGACATCTCTGGATCTGCTGGCAATGCTCCTCTTAATGCAACCTCATATGCCATTAGCCTTCTTGGCTACAAGGGCACACTGTTGACTCATATCTAGCTTCTCATCCACTGTAGCCCCCAGGTCCTTTTCTGCAGAACTACTACTTAACCGGTTGGTCCCCAGCTTGTAACTATGCTTGGGATTCTTTCATCCCAAGTGCAGGACTCTACACTTGTCCTTGTTGAACCTCATCAGATTTCTTGTGGCCCAATCCTCCAATTTGTCTAAGTCATTCTGTACCCTATCTCTGCCCTTAAGTGTATCTACCTCTCCCCCCAGTTTAGTGTCACCTGCAAACTTGCTGAGGGTGCAATCCATCCCCTCATCCAGATCATTAATAAAGATATTGAACAAAACTAGTCCTAGAACTGAACCTTGGGGCACTCCGCTAGAAACCGACCGCCATCCTGACATCGAGCCATTGATCACTACCCGCTGGGCCCGTCCTTCTTGCCATCTTTCTATCCATCTTACCGTCTATTTATCCAATCCGCAATCCCTTAACTTGCTGGCAAGAATATTGTGGGAGACCGTATCAAAAGCCTTGCTAAAGTCAAGGTATATAACATCCACTGACTTCCCCATGTCCACCGAGCCAGTTACCTCATCATAGAAGCTAATCAGATTGGTCAGGCATGACCAATTAGAACAGTTAAAACGTAAGGGAGATTCTAATATTCATATTACAATCCACTAACATCTTGGGTGCAGTTCATGCAAGCAAACTTATTCAGGGTAGAACTTAAGCACATTCTAGGATTTAAGTACATACTTAAGTGTTTTACTGAATCAGGGCCTAGATGTATTAAAGAAGAGTGAACTTTTCCATCAGGGGGCACAAAGCATTGCATATTAAAAGGAAATTCATAAATGTGGGGCTCATAAACTGTCAGGACTACTGTATTTTCTTATTGCCCTGAGTGATTAATACACACAATCCCATTAAGATCAATGGGATAACTGTATATTGATATATCTGTATATAAGCTGGAAGGGATACTTGCCAATACTCAGAGAGGTCGCTGCAGCTCCATTGTATTTCAGCATTAACGTAATTTTTGGAGGTGGTGAGTGATTTCTGCTGCATTGTAGCTTGAGGACTAGAAATGCTGCTAATTGACCTCTAGCATGAAAAGGCCCTCCTATGGTATGCATGCTTTCAACCATGAGTAGGGAGCAGGTCTAAAGGACTAGCTCCAACCTTGGCCTGCCCATAAGCCTGAGACCCCAGTCCATGCAGTAACTTTGGATTTCTCTTGTCACACTGTGGCAATGCTTTCAAATACAAAGAGTTAATCAAAACCATAGTTTTTACAAGAATATTTTTGTTCTTTGACTTTTTTCTTAGTCTAGGTCTAATTTACTGGTCTGGCTCTTTTATGTGGTGTGCTGGTTGACACCAATAAAATACTTCACCAAACCTTTGCTTTGTTGCTGCCTTTTTGTTGCCACTTACATATTTCAATGGAAAGTTTTGAAATAAAAGCTTTATTTATAAACAGGAGACTTCTAGAAAACCAATGGCATTCTCTGGAGAGAGTTAAAAGAGATTTTTTCAGGCTTGCTGATGAGCATGACATAGTGACACCAATACCAATCCCACTTATACCAGCGCAAGTGTAAGGCTACATCTAGAATGCAGCTATTTTCTGGGATATCAGAGGTATCCCAGAAAAGCTATGCCGTATCTAAAGAATGCATTCACTTTTCAAAAAAAAAAAAATCGGAAAAGTGGACACGCTCTTTCACCATCTCTGTAAACCTAGTTTGACGAGGAAGAAGGGATGTGTTGAAAGAGGAGTTTGTTCTGAAATTTGGTGTCATCTAGACACGCCAAATTTCGGAAAAGCCTCTTTTGAAAGAAAAGCGCAAAAAATATGCAAATTGCAAACCACAATTTGTATATCTTTTCCCGACTTTTCTTTGTAGTGTAGACATAGCCTAACTCCATTAAATTCAGTGGAATTACACAATGCTCTATATTAGAGGGACACCCAGGTCCCTAAGTAAGTGTATAAGGCATCGTTCCTGATCCCACCCAAGTCCTCCCACCATTTGCTTTTGGAGCTGGCTGAGGGCACTGCCACTGATGCTGCCTTATTTTACCCTCAGCTTGGGCAGAGAAGAAGAGGACCTTAATTAGTCCTGCTTAATTAGTGCTCAGTCCAAGGTGATGGGATAAAGAGGTACACCTTCCTGCTGCCCCTCCGCTTTCCAGGTGGAAACGGGCCCCTTTTAATACGACAGCTATTGGAGTTCCTTCCTTACCCCCTGCCCAGGGAGACTTGGTGACAAGTCCTTGTTGCTGCTACCCCCTTCTCCAAGTCCTGATGGAGAAATGAAGCAGTCCAGGCTCTTGCTCATACTTTTGCCACAATGGGGTATGTTTGTGGCTCAGTAGCTGGGTGAAATAGATGGATGGTGAGCTCTAGATGGTGAACTCTGTAGAGTGGGCCAGAACTAACTGGGCAGTTCTGGGGTGGCAGGACTCGGGGTGGTGAGGGGGTAGGGAGTGGAATTCTATTATTAACAGGGAGGTCTGACTGTGCTTAACATCAGAATGGATTGTGAAGGCAGTTAGTTGAGGGGGAATCAATGGGTGCATGGGGGAACAAAATTAATGGTGGACTGTATGTGTGGGAGCCACATGTGGAATTAGCCA